TAGGATGTTTGTTTTTCACTTTTCTGGTTCCCGCTAAAAATTAGAATATATATTATCCGATGCTTGAGTACTTTCGGCTCTCAGAAGCCATTATATAAATTTTAGGTACAACAGATGTAAAATTTCTAATACTTCGTCAGTATTACTGATGTCGTTCCTACAATTATATATGTATGGACTTCCTTTGCCATTTAACTGTGTTTTTGGTTTTTTACTTGGTCTCATATTTCCACTCATCATTATTTAACGACGTTTATTATATATTTATATTATTTTTGTTTCCTTTGTATTGTTTCTTGGTTTTCCTTTTCATTTCTATATCGCTAATTTTTTTTATTTTTTCCCCCGCTAATTATTCTCCGGAATAATTACTATTTAAGTCTAAGCATTTATTAAGATGAAACAATATACCTGATATACTTGTGTAAAAGTCGACCTCATATAAAACACGATAGACACACCGCTACCCTCCATCCCCACGGATATCTTTTTACTACTGGCCGTCGGATGTGTAATTTCAATTAAATCTTGTGTAAAACCTGATTCGTTTTTCCGTCGTAAGCGGCTCAGAATTATACATGAGAGCGAGAGAGAGAATTTCCTTCTGGGTCGTTTAAATTTTTTTTGTTAATGCAACAGATCGTGAGTTAAGAACTAATATTATCCTCTCTTCATTGTCATTATTATTATTATTATTATTATTAATAATAATAGTAAGAAGAAGAAGAACAATGAGATAATAATTCCGTTGCATCGCCTTTCTGCTAATATTGACCACATCTTTAAATTTGTCGATATTAGACATATATATTTAACCTTTAACATCAATTGAAACATAAAATTAACATACACATGGATATTTGACATTACGCGCACACACACATATATACATATATATATATATATATATATATATATATATATATATATATATATATACACACACACACACACACACACATATATATATATATATATATATATATACACACATCACTATGAAAACCCTCCAACGAGTGCGCAAGATCTCCTCATCAGTGATGTTATGACTTGGGGTCATGACAAGTTTCAGGTCTTGCAACATCATACATGCTCGCCTCTTGAAAGCAAGTATGATGTTGCAATATATATATATATATATATATATATATATATATATATATATATATATATATGCTTGTGTGTGTGTGAGTGTTTATATATATATATATATATGCTTGTGTGTGCGTGAGTGTTTATTTATATATATATATATATATATATATAGCTTGAATTGTGGTCCGAAAGTTACAATGAATGATGTTAGAACAATATGATTATTGATCACCACTAAAATTAATCACTTATATAATTTGACAAAGAATGAGATCATGTTCAGAATTTGTTGTTTAAAATGAGGTCTTTTTCGATGTTAAATTGCGGACTAATTAACACACACACACACACACACATATATATATATATATATATATATATATATATATATATATATATATTTCTGAGCTTTCGTTATTTAGTCATACTGTGCGAAGTTTGCCAGGCCGAGAACTTTGTAATATATATATATATATATATATATATGAGGTAATAAATAACTTAGATCTTCGTATAAAAATCAATTTGATTTTGAAAAAAACTTCGACATTAGTTGATAACGACATCTGAGAGTGCAAAATCTTATTGAACCCAAATTGTGTAAGCGTTAATCGAAGTTCTGCGTGTTGACTGAATAAACGTTGCCACGCCTAGAGCGATAGTCAGCGTTTTTTTTTTTTTTTTTTTGTTTCTCTCGTGTGTTCGATCCTCATCACGCGCGGAAATCGAAGGCTAGGCTTAACCAGCCCCATTTTAAGTGAATTAGTGAAATCTTAGAAGTGTCTTTTACAGTTTACTCATTTTCCAGATAGCTGTTTTTTCTTTCTATATATCGATGAAGATTTTTACTGAGCCCAAGAAATAGTCTTCCCTAAAAGGGAAGGAAATCTCTTTCATAACATTCTTCAGTAGCATCCATGGCTCTCCACAGTTTCCTATCCTTTGCAGATCTTTGCCTTTTGCATATCCTTACCATTTATTTATTTATTTTTTTTTTTGGAGGGTGGGCAGCCATTTACTCAGTCCCCTTAAGTAGATTTTCTATCTCCTGTTGTCAGGATGTCCTGTGAGTGTCAGAGTCGCCAAGCCTTTTCCCATAATGAGAAATGAAGTCATGGCAATTTGACACTTTAAAATATTCAACTTCTCTTTCTGATTTTATTTATAATTGTCCTTTTTGTTTCCATTTTCCGTAAAACTTCCTCGTTGCTTACATTCTCTGTCGATGGTATTCTCAGCATCCTTCTGTAGAACTAAATTTCGTTTGCTTCAAGTTTTCTCTTCTTTTGTAAGGAAATTATCCGGCATTCACTGCTATCTACGAGGATTAACATTACATCCCAGTTCAGCATTCTTTTCTTTGCTTCTAACGAAATTTTCCTGTTTCTTAATACTTTGCTTAGCTTTTGGAAAACATCTTTTGCTATTCGGATACGACTTCGGACTTCGGTGTCGCATTTTCAGTTATCGGATAAAACACTTTCTTTTTCTTGTCAATTCGAAAAAAAAAGCAAGGCGATAATGCCACTAAGACGCAAAGGGTTATTGTGAGTGAATGTAACTGAAAAGACTTTAGAAGAAACCGGGAACGCAAACCTCAACAGGAAACAATGGATAAACCTCTACTCCTGTTCAAAAGACCGGAGAGGTGTGTGAACCGGACGATAGGCGAACCTATCTATTCCTATTTTTGATCTGTCAGTCCTTTCTTCCCGGTATTAACTAGAAAATCCTATAGTTTTCTTTTTTGTATTTGCCGTCAAAGCCGTTTCATTTGCGTATTTTATATCATGCCTACTGATAATAAACCCTGGTTCGATCCTTAACTCCGTAAGAATATCCACGCTGTTTTTATTGTTAAGAACTTATGCTAAAATATTAGAAATTTTATACGACTTGCGTAATATATTTAAATAATGAATTATTAAGTTGGCCTCTTTTGTTCTTAGTCCCATATCGTATATACCTTTGTAAATGTTGCTTATATTTAGGGCCAACATTCAAGTTTACACAGTAATCACCTAAAGCATTTATTTAAATATAAAACCCTACTTGCCGATATATAGTATTTGATGACCTAAAAAGTAACCCCTATTGACATTTCGTATAAGAGTATTATAGATTTAAGTTCGGTACAAATATTGGTAATCTATAGCCTCTGGGCAAACTTGAGACCAGTGCACGTCAAAGTGTGGTACGCATACCGGTTTAGGTACGCGATCCATCCTCTGCCGGTACGCGGAGAGTTTCCAGGTAAACAAAGAAACAGTAGTCACATTCCACGTTACGGGAGAATGCCGGGATATCTGACTCAGTTTTCTTTTTAATATTTTCATTTTAGTTTTATATGTATTATGGATAAATTTTTAATTACTCATTCATGTTAAATGTAATTACTATACAACTAAGGAATCCGATATAATGAACAGTGAAATAAAATACGTATGACAACGCCGCCATCGTGATGATACGGAGCGTTACTCTGTGGGAATCACATCATGGAATATCAAAAGGCAAATTTTATGGATATATATTTCTAATTTGGCCTTCCAAAAATTCGCCGGACTGTGAGAAAAATGAATAGCCACGTGAATTTTATCCCAAATTTAAAAAAAAAATAGCATTTAATTCATTTGACTCAATCTAGCAGATTTTCAAAATTGGCACTCACGGGGCATATCTAGGGCAAGGGGGATAAGGGAGGGGAGCGGGCCCACTTACCCGACAAGATAATCTGTATGGGTGGCGGAATCAGGGGTGGGGGTCGCAAAGGGAAAAAAAAAAACGTTCGTAAGGTCTGAAAAAGATAGGAGATTGTGGAGAGCCTTGATCGCTCACGCCCGGAAAGAACACGACACGTAGATGAATAACAATACCTGAGAGAACTATAGTTTCGGTACGCATGTGAGGAATTCTAATAACTGACCCCAGGTAATATGTACAGGTATATTTATGCAATTATCTCGCTCAGGTGAGCTCAGTTGTTTTATTCCAGTCGCTGGTCTGACTTTTTCTTTCTTGTTGTCCTGTGTTTTTAAGGGATTAAATCAGGTTCATAACTTAATCTCTGATAATCACACCAAGATTAAACAAATACACACACGTTTACTGAATATAATCTTGGCTAAAACGATTAAAATTATTTTTTTTAAAGTCATGTAAGCTTTTTTTTTTTTCGTCTTTTTTATTTAAACACTTGTTTTTTTACTTCAGGATTTAAAATCGCTTTTGTTTATTTGTCTGTACGTATTTATACATACTTGTCACTATCTATATTGGTACCTGTAAGTTCAGGATGAGAAGTTACATGAATTTTAACCCCTCCAGAAAAGAACTCTCTGTGTATAGCGCACCTGGTCGCCGAAAATGCATAATTTCAACCTCTTCAAAAACATTAAAATTACCGGTGTATAGTATGGCCCCAATTTTATTTTTATTTTTGCTTAAATATCTGATCATAAAACCTCGAACTATACCCAAGTATATATATATTTATATATATATATATATATATATATATATATATATATATATATATATATATATATATATATATATGGTATCGTTATTTATATTCGGACTAATATCCTCATCTTTGTTGTTATTATCTCAACTTTTCTGTCATTGTCCCACGAGAAAAATAGCCTACTGGATCAAAACTTTGTTTCATGAATTTTGTGACATAGAAATTTGAGAGTTCGTGCCGCTGGATCGGAAAGGGTATATCTAGATAATGACTTAGCAGTACGAAATAAGTTCGAATTCCAGTCGAGTTCATTACATTGACATGTGCTAATACTCTTGGGAAAGGTACGAATCCATCACGTCTTCTCCCCCACCTCACTCCCAGCTATGGGTAAATAGCAGGTCAGACAGGGTCCTAAAACCAACCTACCTATGTATGTATGTATCTAAATCTGTTTCCATCGTGTTTACACTTCCTTTGTCCTTTTTTATTGCATATATATATATATATATATATATATATATATATATATATATATATATATATTATCTATCTGTCTTCTGGTTTTATCTATCTGTCTTCTGTTCATATCTATCTATCTATCTATCTGTCTTCTGTTCATATCTATCTATCTATCTATCTATCTTCTGTTCATATCTATCTATCTATATATCTATCTATCTATCTTCTGTTCATATCTATCTATCTATATATCTATCTATCTATCTTCTGTTCATATCTATCTAACTATCTATCTATCTTCTGTTCATATCTATTAATCTATCTTCTGTTCATATCTATTAATCTATCTTCTGTTCATATCTATTAATCTATCTTCTGTTCATATCTATTAATCTATCTTCTGTTCATATCTATTAATCTATCTTCTGTTCATATCTATTAATCTATCTATCTTCTGGTCATATCTATTAATCTATCTATCTTCTGTTCATCAAATCTATCTTCTTCTGTTCATATCTATCAATCTATCTTCTGTTCATATCTATCAATCTATCTTCTGTTCATATCTATCTATCAATCTATCTTCTGTTCATATCTATCTATCAATCTATCTTCTGTTCATATCTATCTATCAATCTATCTTCTGTTTCATATCTATCTATCTTCTGTTCATATCTATTAATCTATCTATCTTCTGTTCATATCTATTAATCTATCTATCTTCTGTTCATATCTATTAATCTATCTATCTTCTGTTCATATCTATTAATCTATCTATCTATCTATCTATCTATCTATCTCTCTATCTATCTATCTATCTATCTATCTATCTATCTCTCTCTATCTATCTATCTATCTTCTCTATCTATCTATCTATCTAGCTATCTATCTTCTGTCCATATCTATCTATCTATCTTCTATCTATCTATCTATCTATCCTATCTATTATCTATCATATCTTTCTGTTCTTTATCTATATATCTTTATTCTGTTCATATTTATCTACTTATCTATCGTTTGTTCATATCTATCTCGATCTATTTATGTATATATATATATATATCCTCATCTATCCCCCTCTATCTTTTTTTCATTTCTAGATCTAGTTCCTCGTGCCCCCCCCTCTCTCTCTCTCTCTCTCTCCATAGATAAATTCATATCTCTATCTTCCAATATGTGTCTGTTTGGAAAAAAAAAACATAATCTTGTACTGTCATGTGAATAATTAAATTCTGTTGAACTGAAATTTGAAAGATCACAAATTTAAACTTAATATTTTCTGCCTGACCGAATAAATTTCTTTAAAAGGAGTTGTTCTACTTGTACTACAATAATTAATGTAATAACAATTATTATTTTAATTTAAAAAAAAAAAAGATTAAAAACCAAAAAGAAAAAAAATACAGAGTCAAACTCTTCATCTAATAACCGGCATTAATAGTCACCTCTTATCGGTGAAGCAGCGACACTTATTAATTTTTTTGTCAATTACTACTTTCATCAATTGCTTTTATTGCATCTCCCGGATTATTATTCCATGAACGTTGAGCAAGCAACGGGATTCGGAAATAAAGATTAAGTATGAAACGCCACTTGAACTAGTATTTCTTGGCCTTGAAAGCCGGCCTTTCCGTGACAGCACCTACACCGATTTGAACACGGGATCCAACCATGAGAGGTTATTCAAATTTAATCACACAACAGAAGTGACTGTTACTCCGAACACCACATCTCGTTATATTGTTTGTTTATATGTTTTTTCACTAGCAATTTAATGGTACTTGGATGAAAATAGTAACTTGTCGAATGTACAAAAATATATGAGCTACATTCATATCGAAATATATAATGAATATGATGCATAGATTCGACTGGAATTCGAACTCGGCTCTCCGATTCCTCAATCCAAGCCGCTATCCATTATAATCTATTACATTGACTTAAGCGCTAATACCCTTGGGAAAGGTGTGAATCCTCTTCTTCTCCCTCCAGCTATGGGTACATAGCAGGAAAGACTGGGTTCTATAGCCTTGGGTGGCAAC